GAAATAAATTACCCTATATTAAATCCTCTCAAAAGGGTTTTATCTTTGATAATTTCGGTTTGTTTTTCAAAGTGCCGGATCATGACAATACCTCACAAAATTAGAATACTTACTACAAGTTTACGACAAACTTAAATATAACTAAAATATTCCAAGAAACTGAAAGTAAATAAATTTAAAGTTTAACCAAAGTATTTTGTGTTTTTAGTTTAAACAAAACCTTTAGTGTGTAGGATTGTTAAAATTATAGAGGTTCTTTATCTTCCTATCCTAAATTGACAGTCTTAAAACAGTTATATCTGGCTTAACTTGGTCAACTTAAGATAGAAATCACTTTTAAGAATGTCAACATAACTATGACTGTCTTAAGAGTGTCAACCTAAGCTGGATATCACTGTCTTAAGAATGCCAACTTAAGCTATATACGACGTAAAAATGCCAATTTAAGTTGAATACTGAATAATGTAAACTTAAGGTAAATATCGCTATTAAGAATAATCTGGATATGACCATCTTAGGAATCTCAACAAGTTGGAGATATAACTGTTAAAGTAATGTCAACAAGCTAGATATAATTGTTTTAACGAAACAAGCTTGATATTACTATCTTAAGAATGCCAACTAAAGCTAGATATGATATGTCAATTTAAGATGGATATGACTATCTTAAGAATGTCAACTTGATATCACTCTTACCAAAGTTATAATGAGCTTAATATGACTGTCTTAAGAATGTCAATTTAAGTTGGATATTACTGTTATAAAAATGTCAACAAGCTAAATATAATTGTTTTAAGTCAACCCTACCTAGATATCACTGTCAAAAATGTCAACTAAAGTTGGATATAACTCTTATAAAATTTTCAACAAGCTAGATATAATTATTTTAAGTCGATAGAACAGATATCACTGTCTTAAGAATCCCAACTTAAGCTAGGTTTGACCCAAACTTGTCAATTTAAGATAAATATGAGTGTATTTAGAATGTCAACTTAAGGTAGGAGGATATCACTCTTAAGAATGTTAAAATGAGCTAGATATGACTGTCTTAAGAATGTCAAGGTAGGTAGATATCACTCTTAAGAATGTTAAAATGAGCTTGATATGACTGTCTTAAGAATGTCAACTTAAGTTAGATATAACTGTTATAAAAATGTCAACAAGCTAAATATAATTGTTTTAAGTCGACCCATGCTAGATATCACTATCTTAAGAATGCCAACTCAAGCTAGATATGACTGTCTTAAGAATGTCAACAAGGTAGGTAGATATCACTTTCAAGAAAGTTAAAATGAGCTTGATATAACTATCTTAAGAATGTAAACTTAAATTGGATATACCTGTTATAAAATTGTCAACAGGCTATATGTATATAATTATTTTAATTCAACATAACAGATATCACTGCCTTAAGAATTCCAACTTAAGCTAGATTTGACCTAAATTTGTCATTTAAGATAAATATGACTGTATTTAGAATGTCAACTTAAGGTAGGCGGATATCACTCTTAAGAATGTTAAAATGAGCTAGATATGACTGTCTTCAGAATGTCAACTTAAGTTGGTATATCTGTTATAAAAATACCAACAAGCTAAATATAATTCTTTTAAGGCAACCCAAGGTAGATATCACTGTCTTAAAAATACCAACAAGCTAGATATGACGGTCTTAAGAATGTCAACTTAAGTTGGATATAACTGTAATAAAAATACCAACCTATATCTATACATATCACTCTTAAGAATGTTAAAATAAGCTGGATATGACTGTCTTAAGAATGTCTACTTAAGTTGGATAAAACTGTTATAAAAATGTCATCAAGCTAGATATAATTAATTTAAGGCAACCCAAGCTAGATATCACTGTCTTAAGAATGCTAATTTAAGTTAGATTTAACCGAAAACAATATAACTCATAAGAGTCCCAACAAGGTAGATATGATATCTAAGATATCAATCACTCAAGAATGTCAAGTTGTTGGATATAAGTTATATCATATAACTGATGAAAATGTAAACAATTCAGATATAACATTCTTAAGAATACCAACTTAGGCTATAGACTTCTTAAGAACGTAAATAATTTAGAAAATACGTCGTTTCTATAAAAGACCCTCTATTTAGTTGGCTTATCTTTTAAGTCTGTATAAAGTTACATAGAGTAAAACTTTTTGTTCGTGAAAAGTTTAGCTACAAAAAGTGTCAATTTGGAATGAAAGCCGTAGTTTTTTCGTGTTGAAATTCAAAAGTGTGTGTTAATTAAGTAATGTAGTAGAGTAAAATAACGTATAAAACAAGTGAGTAGTGGGCACGTCTGTGTTGGGTCCCTTTTCAGAAACGTGTTCATAGGAGTTTCAACTATGGAGTGGAAAATCTTGAAAGTCATTGAAATGCCCCACAATGCTCGGCTAAGTACAGGCTGTATGTAAAATATCCCCTTAAAACCACTCAAATCCTTCTGCTTTAATAGAAAATATACTTAGCTGTTAACTACGAATATCATACCAGCCATTTCTTCCCTAAGATGGTGTCTGCATGCATAAATTGGAATTTTTAATAGCGGTGTGCTAATAACAAGAAATATTGGCTTTGTTTCCCCGCCTATTGTTAATAGGGATTCTTTTATATCTATTATGGAAATGTAATTCAAAACCATTACATTCAATTACACTATTATGCAATTTGTAAATTTTAAATGGGTGTTTTTTTTCAGTAATTACTATACTTTAATTATCATTTTTTGCGTATGGTGTTAGGGAGCTCCAATTGGAGACTTAAGTCTAGACTGAACAGCTTTTTTACAGTGAGAAGAAAATGTGAATTGTAGCACAATTTGTAACGGCGCTTTAAGTTCAGAACTAATTTAGTTCAAGAAAAATGTAAAATAGACTTAAAATGATTGACACAATTTTTTTCTTAGTGTACCTATAGTTATATGGCTTGGTGATAATTTTAAAGCAGTAATATCTGGCATAAGTTGACATTCTTAAGACAGCAACATCTATATTAAATTGATACTCTAAGGTCATATATAGCTTGAGATGGCATTCTTAAGACAGTGATATATAGCTTATAGCATATCTATCTTAAATTGACATTCTTAGGTCATATCTAGCTTGGGTTGACTTAAAACATTTATATCTAGCTTGTTGACGTTTTTATAACAATTATATTCAACTTAAGTTGATATTTTTAATAAAGTCATATCCAGCTCATTTTAAAATTTTTAAGGCTTAAATCTACCTTTCTTGACATTCTTAAGACAGTCATATCTATCTTAAATTGACTATTTATGTAAAACAAGTATCTAGCTTGTTGACATTTTTATAACAGTTACATAGAAATTAAGATGATATTTTTAAGTCATCTAGCTCATCTTTCTTCAATTGACATGTGATATATAGCTCATTTTAACATTCTCAAGAGTAATATTTACCTACCTTAAGTTGACATTCTTAAGATATATAGCTCATTTTAACATTCTCAAGAGTAATATTTACCTACCTTAAGTTGACATTCTTAAGACAGTATCTATCTTAAATTTACATCCTTAGGTCATATCTAGATTGAGTTGGCATTCTTAAAACAGTTAAATCTATCTTAAATTGACATTCATATCTATCTTAATTGACAGTCATATCTATCCTAAATTGACTATTTTTGTAAAACTAGCTTGTTGACATTTTTATAACAGTTACATACAAATTAAGATGATATTTTTAAGACATATCTAGCTCATCTATCTTCAATTGACATGTGATATATAGCTCATTTTAACATTCTCAAGAGTAATATTTGCCTAAAGTTGACATTCTTAAGACAGTATCTATCTTAAATTTACATTCTTAGGTCATATCTAGCTTGAGTTGGCATTCTTAAGACAGTGATATCTAGCTTGGGTGACTTAAAATAATTATATCTAGCTTGTTGAAAACATTATAACAGTTATATCCAACTTAAGTTGACATTATTAACAGTCATATCTAGCTCATTTTAACATTCTTAAGAGTGATATTTACCTACCTTAAGTTGACATTCTTAAGACAGTATCTATATTATATTTACATTCTTGGGTCATATCTAGCTTGAGTTGGCATTCTTAAGAGTTATATCTATCTTGGGTTGCCTTAAAAGAATTATATTTAGCTTGTTGACATTTCTATAACAGTTGTATCCAACTTAAGCTCATTCTTAAGAGTGATATCGTTAAACGATTTTTTTCATTAATTTCTCTATAATATTTAAAGCAACAAAGCTTACTTTCGTGTTTTATTTTTATTTGAATGAGATTACAATCAAAATTTATACTTATTACCTTTTAAAAAAACATAAAACCCTAAGAGTAAATTTAAAACAGAGACGAACAATCCGCTTTTTCAATTTATCATATCATTTAAAAGTAAAATTAGGTTTTTATATATAAAAAGAAATACTTTTAGGGTAAAAGATTCACTGTCACCGTAAATTAAATTTTATTTATTTTTCAGTGCCGCAAAGGACGAGATATAAAGCGACAAATAAATTTATCTTAAGTTTATAACACAATGTGTCTAGACGAGGATTTGTGAATTAAAGGAAAAAGCCGTAATATTAGTCTTTCATATTTCTTTGAGAAAAATATGCTACATTTAATTATAAATCACATTTTTTTTGTAAAATATTTCCACCAAAAGAAAGGAAAAGTAGGTTTCCCATTCATATTTTTAATAGTTTTTACATCTCTGAAAACTCTAAACCTTTTCGTATAGAACTAAAAGTAAGGCAAAAGCTTCTCAAAAGTGATCAACTTTAGAATTTTCTTATCGGAAGTTTGCATCGCTGCCTCAGGAACTTGTTTTCCCGGAAAGAAAGCCAACTCGCATAATATTTTTATCATATCCGTAATTGGAACTCTTCAGAAACTCTCACCCAAACCCTGAATAAATGAACAGAGGTCGTTATTTCAAGAAGCTTTAAGAAAAACTATATTTACAAAATATCATTTATTCATATTTTTTATATTTACACTATTCGTAATCTTGATCGATTAACCGTGAAAAAATAGAAGAAGGAGTCGACATCAAGTTATCAGGCGTATCAAATTCAACTATTTTTCCATCATCGAGCACCAAAATTCTATCGGAATCCAAGATAGTTTCAATTCTGTGCGCGATTGTCAAAACCGTGCTTTTACGGAAAGCCGATCTTAACGTGTGCTGAATTTGACGGTCAGTCTCAATGTCTATGCTTGCTGTTGCTTCGTCAATACAGAGAATCTAAAAAAAATGTAATCAATACTTAATTGTTTATTGGGGAAATACTACTTTTGCATTGTGTAGAACGGCTCTAGCCAAACAAATCAACTGTTTTTGGCCAACTGATAAATTCTCCCCTGCGCCTTCAATCATCTGATCTAACCCGCCCATTTTTTGTATGACCGCCATCAAGTTCACCTTAATCAAAGAAGCCCAGATTTCAGCATCCCTGAACTCCTTAAGAGGATCCAAATTTTCCCTTATGGTAGCACTAAATAGAAAGGGATCTTGTGGTATGCAGAACAATCTGGACCTTAATCCTGACAAGGCTAATTTTGATATGTTTACTGTATCTATTGTTATCATCCCCGATGACAATTCCGTAAGACGAAATAGAGCTGCTAGAATTGAGCTCTTACCCGCCCCTGTTCGACCCACAATCCCTATCTTCTCGCAAGGTCTTGCTTCAAAGGAGATTTGTTTTAGAGAAGGAACTAAATGATCTCTAAAAAAATGCATTACAGAGATAAAACACTTTTATCGAATAAACAATAATCTTACCTGTATCTGAGAACAACATCCCTAAAAACAATTACTCCCTGACTGGGCCAGCCGAACGGAGGATGTCTGTCCAATTCGGTCGATTCCGAAGGAACTTCTTTAATATACTGATTAACCCTTTCCACGGCAATCATTTCCTTTTCTGTCTCTGTAAAAGCGTTTACAACACCCCCCAGCTGACCGGTTACGGAAAGCGCATACGAAATTGCCAGACCGACCATACCTATAAAAACAAAATAAAGGATCCGCAAACAGCGAGTTCTGGCTGCATATACTGCCCCTCAAAACGATAGAATTTTATAGTTCATACACTGAGAGAAATATGGATGCATCTAATATTGGATACTGCAAAAGTCGTTTACGCATTATTTAAACAATGTACTTCACATTGTAAAGACACGAAGAACTTGTGTGGTGTCTGGTCTATAAACTGACCCATGTAATAGAGTTTTGCAGATACCGAAAGGTGACAATTTATCATATACCGGTAAAATTGACGAGAACTTTTTAGAGTAGGTAACTATTAAACTATGATAGTTTTATAAACTTGTTGTTCCTAACATTAAGTACTCCAGCTTAGTTTAACTAATTTTGGGCCGCTGATTTCAAAAATGACATTAATTTTTCTATAGGAAGTCTAAGATTTAAAATAATTTTGTAATAAAATCCTCTGCTCAATCACCTCAAAATGTAAATTTATTAAATCGTATCAGATATCAAATTGGATTATAGTATTATTGTGCTTAATCCTCATCATCGTCAAACATCTTTTGCTGCAAATTCCAGCAAATGTCTCCTAGCAATGAATCCAACTTCTTTCCGCTATACTCATAGATATCTACCAATACTCTAGATTTGCAGTTACTTGGTGAGATCGTTCTCCATGTTCATCAGTTCGGCAAATTTATCACGATGAAAAAAAAAAGACAATGTATTTTAAATGACATATTAACGCCAATTCTTTGCAAAACGGAAAGCATTTTTTCAATGAATTGGCGCCAATTTTAGGCCCGATATGAACCAAGAACATTTTCAATGGCAGCTTTAACACTGCCATATGCGACAATCTCGTCAACTTTGAGAGCATTTTTGAATGCTTGATCTTTCATTAAACGTATATCTCATAAAATTTTATAATGAAATAGTGCGTTGGTTTTTCTTGGGCGTAAAGGTACCGCAACAAAAACAAAACAAATTTACAACGACGACATAAATGTTTGCCACTTTCATTACCACTTCCATTTCCTGCTCTTTTTTCATTTTTGGTTCTTAAAATCGCTTTCAAGTAAAAATACAAATTAAAGTTTAAATTTTAAATGTCAATAATTAATAGATGCACTTTAGTGTGCTTGAACGATAAAGGCGCCTTTATACTTCAATTCCGTATTAAATTTTGATAAATAAGATCCAAAATTAAATTTTTGGGTACTTTAGGCATGATGTGAATAAAAACATCAAATAATAGTCGAAGATACAGAAACCCATTTTCTTTGTTGCCTTTTCAATTTAATTAGTAATTAAAAAAACGACACAAAAAATTCAAAAAATGATACTTTTTACCAAAATATATTATAATTTTAGTTTTGGTATTTAATAAAGCACTTCTCTGCAGAAAAGTGCTATATACCTTATAAAATTCTACTATAGTATATATACGGCTACAATGGAACAAACAAAATTTCTATTTGACATTTATCTACCAATGACTTTGTATGGAGTCCCAGTATGTTTTTGACAAAATAATTTAATAAATAATCAAAATATTAACAAAAAACTTACATTTTGAGATAATTGGGCAGAGCATTTTATTACGCAATTATTTCGAATCCTAGACGTCCTGGAGCAAAACGAGTGGCATTTTTGAAATCAGCAGCCCAAAATTAGGTGATATAGGTAGGCGTACTCAATGTTAGTAAATCGAACTATTATAGTGTTATTAATTAAAGTAGAATGTAGAAATGCAAAAATGTCTAAGAGTTGCTAAACTTTTGAGAGATAGTGTAGCTTTGGTAATTTGACTTGCCTGGATCAGCAAAGTCGTATTGGTGCTGTATAACGGCGATAAAACTGACCCCGGCAACTATTGCAACTCCAATAAACTGTAATCTCAAACCGAGCCATCTCGCAGCGCATTGGCTTGCAAATTGTGCCTTCAAATTGGCTTCAATTTTGTCCTCGTTCTCCCGTCTGAACCTGCCGCTTGCTCGCATCGCCCTAATTGTCGTCAAACCTAAAACGGATTAAGCAATTTTCTCAAGCACGCGCCATTTTAACCTGATGAGTGTTTTATATGCAACAGCTACTAAAAAATAAAGTGTCAACCGTCTGTTGATTGTATACATATTTATTATTAAATTTATATTCGTAAAAACTTAATAAATCACTGGTATCAGATGGAGCAAGATATTATACAATCCAACAAACTAAAGTCATTATTATTACACTATGTTACCTTGCAGGGTCTCGTTAAAATGGCTGTAAATAGGCGATAGGGTCACGCTGGAGATTCTCTTCAGCTCTCTGGAAGTCAGTCTGTAATGATCCTGAAGAGAATGGTAGACTGGCACAAGTGGGACGAGGACGAGGCTGATCCAAGGCAAGCCGTACACTGTTATTGCTATGCAACCTGAAAATTACGCATGTCGTTGGACGAAAGGTTAGTTTTCTCATTTGTGCGAAGAGCTTGTTAAAAAGCAATATTTGGATTCAAATAGTGAAATAAAACGGTTTCAATTCCATTAATTTGCGATGGGTTAGTTTTCCGGTCGACGTAGGACAACCGATCTCGTTAAAATAGTTGGAAAGTTTTACTCGAAATGAAATTGATTAGCATTATAAATTAAAGTTCGAGGAAAATTTTAATTGGAAATTTAATATCGAAACTCACCCAACAAGCTGAAAAACTGTGCCAACAATATGTTCATTATAAACGGCAAAGAGTCGTCTATTGTGTACGTGTCGCTGGAAAATCTGTTCAAGATCCTACCCAAGGGCGTGATATCGAAAAATATCAGTTTACCCTAGAAATAAACGTTAACATATTTCTAGTGATAAAATATTTAAAACAAACCCTCATTATAGACTTCAGCAGCAGCTTGTGTATTTTTGCCGCGGCCACTACACCGCCATATGCAAATAAGAACGCTCTAAAAACAGTAAAAACGACGTTTACCACCGCCATTTCCACATATATTCTCAAATAATACGACGTAGGTTCGTTTTCGTCGGAAAAACTGCTCATAATATAAATCGTATCGTCGAAGGTTAGGTTGGTGTTGTTCGAGGATCTGTTCGTTTCTTCGGTAACCCAGTGTGATAACCACCAGTCTGTCAAGTTTCTGGTGGCTTGCATCATGGTTATCGATATTAAAATGCAGAAACACAAAATGTGGCCCAAGGCTTTCCAGTATTTGGAGTAAACGGAAAGGGCTACAGTTCCAGTTTCTTGAGTTTCCTGATGAATAGAAAAACATAACGTCAGCATTGGTAGAAAACTTGTGGTGTCTGAACCAAGTAATTTTTAAAAAGCTTCTTTTAGACTCAACTTCACACCATTAATTAAGGTTTGCTGAGATCTAAACAAATGGGAGTGAAATATTTAGCAACCAAACATCCCAAGAAGAGCAACTCGTTGAATTAATGTCACTTTGTAATAAGTTCAATTATGGTAAAATTAACGTTATGTTAGTTAAAATTAACTTCTTGGTTAATGTACCTTTTGGTTAAAAAGAAGTTAATATTTGGTATTTTACCATTTTTTAACTCTTAAGTTAACTTTAACTATAATAAATTACCTTATTTATCAAATAAATTTAAAAAAATTGATGGCTTTTCCTTTTGTTAGAATGGACAACAAACAATATGGCGATTTAAGAATGCCTTTAATTATTGGTTATATAACCAATATAAATTAATTAAGTTTATTAAACCATTTGGTTATTTTATTGTGTTTAATTTAACTACTTTTTTCTACTCCCACCTTTAAAACGCCCTTTATCGTACATGTTTCCATGACACTAAGTGACCTTTTAAATACACATTGACAAGTTGTGGCTTTATGGCGCTTTAGTCACGGGCTGAAGTTAGTTTTAAGTTAGTTGACAGTTGACAACTGTCATACAATCGTTAAAATAAATTACATTTCTTGTAAAATAATACTAAATGTGAAAATTATTTTATTATCTCAATACAAAAATACAAAAGTATTAAATAGTTTCTCAACGCCAATATTTTAAAAGTTTATATGAACATTGTACTGACCTTTTAATTTCGCCGGCAGTAAACTATAACTTAAATTCGGGCACGGAATCCACTGTAAAGTCCTCATAAAACATTTTCTTTACTTTCACTGTGAAAAACTGACAATTTTCAAGAAATACATTTCGATTTATAACCTTTATAATCTGTATTTATAAAATTTAAAAATGTGACATTTGACGGTGACACACAGATTCCCCTATTGTTTCATAGATGGCGCTCTATACAAATTTTTGATTTAAATCATTTTAAGATAATAATAAGTATTTGTCGTAGAAAAAGTATAGTATGCACAATTCGTGTATAAAATGTTTTGGTTTAAATTCGGTTAATGTAACACATTATTGTTAATAATTATCAAAATTAGTTAAATCAAACTAACTTGTTACTTTTAAAATAAATAACTAAGAAATTACATAAATGTTGTTTACAACTTTCTTAACTCTTCTATGGTTAGTTGAATAAAGTCTATATTTTTCTATGCAGGTAACAATGAAAACTGTAAAACCATTACTTTTTTAACCAGTTTATTAATTAACGTTAATTTACCAGCGAGTTAAAATATATTTGGTAAAATATAAGTTGTTGGTTAAAAAAATATAACCAAATTAACCAAAAATATAACCAAATTAACCAAAGCTGTGGTTAATTTACCAAAAAGTTATATTAAAAGTTAAACTAAACCAAAACATGTCTAAAAAATAACGTTATGTAACTTTTAAAATAACCTACTTTTTAATAATATTAGTAATATTACTACTTTTATTACCTAGTTAAGTTATACTAAAAAAATAAGCTTTGAATTGAAGGTTATAGCAACCGGTTGGTAAATTTAAGGGGTAATTTTTTATTTCATAGTAACCTAAAAAAAATGTTAATGGTTAAATACAACTAATTGGTTAAAAAACAAGTTAAAAAAAACATTATTTTACTTAGATTTTCGTGAATTTACTTAAAATGCTAGTTATTTAACCAGTCTTGCTACTTGGGAATAGCTTTCTCTTGTATCCAGCCTTCTGCAAGTGGTTCAAATCTGTTTGGTGATAAATGCAAGAGTTGTTCTTCTAAGACAGCATCACCAACATTAACTTTAGCCGCCTGAGACTCAGGCTTAGACACAGGCCCTGAGTTGTTAACAAGGATTCATCTTTTCACTTATAATTTAAACTGTTTTTTTTTTGCTACAGACCAAAACAAATCCAATAGAGGATAATAAATATTTTGTCGAATAGTGTCAGCGTATAATATTTTCAACGGCTTACCAAGTCGTTTTTATGATATTTGACGGACGAAGCTTTCAGCAAGTAATCCTCTTAATGTCTCCGTTCCTGCGTAACATTTCTATCTAATGATCTAACCTGTAAGCCCTTCTATGACAAATAAATTTTGTGGACGGTTGGACAATGTTCAATGGACATGCTCATTAAATGGAATTAAGCGACGTATTAGTGACAAAAGGCTATTGACGGACTTGTATTAAATGGATTATATTGTCCTTTATTAAGAAGTAAATAAGTTGTTATAATGTTTATAGATCGTAACCTGCCTGTTAACAACTTTCGGCCAATCAGTGATAATCATGGATGAGCAAGACATTGATACATTGTTGTATCGAGAGCTAGATCGATATAAGCAGCTGAGGAACTAAACATTCATCATCAACAGATTTAAACCATTAGTGGAAGGTTTTATACAAGGAATGATTTAACAGTACAAATGTTGTACGTTCGTCTTAAAAATTGAGAGAAATTATTTGGAAAGTTTTAACCTTACAGCATAATTTGTTTCTATCTCTGTAAAAATCATCTAAGTGCCAATTAAAATAAACCGCTTTGAATATAAACAATGTATCTGTGACAAAGAGTAAAATCAACGGCGACCTTCCATTAAATCCTTAATTATGGCTTCGCTTTTTCGACAAAGGGCGTTTTAATTATTACTTTTTTTTTTAGTTTTAATCTACCAACCTGCAAAGCCAAATCGTTATCTTTGGTATTGGAGCTTTGGCTGTTGTCAAAGGTTTTAATACTGCTCAGCAATGAATCTGAATACCCGTCCGATTGCGAACTCTCACCCAGTTCCAAATCAATGGGCAACGTGTCATCCATATTGCTTAGTACGTCGACTGGTTTTCCTTTTGTATGAAAAAAAAAGTAAAATGCTTTAACAAGGAGGTTTGGCGTAATATGGGTCAAGTAATGTGTCAAGTGGAAAAGATTTGGGTTGAATACAAACTGAAGAGAGCAGTAACACATATTGGAAGCTTATTTGTAAAACTGCGTGGCAGCTATTTTGGTTGAATATGTAGTGTAAGCTCAGCTCAGCAACAAATATTAGAAATATTCCCCAAACACCAAAACAAAAGTACCTAAAGTTCTTATTGGAAGAAGTATAGTTCTCTTGAAAACAAATACATAATCTCTTGAATGTTTCTTTTTTCAATCAAGTGCAAAGTGTTTTTGTTCAAAAGCTATGAAAATTATTTATATTCACGCAATTCATTCAAGATACATCCCAATTATACCAATAGCATGTAAATTTTACAACAAAATCTGGTAGCTTCTGATACATGGGAGGGGATGCAAAACGCGCACACCGTTTGCGGCACACGTGTTTAGTACGTTTTGTATCATTGCAACTTGCAATTCGCCATTTTCTAGGGGCAGTGATATAATATTATAATTCTGTTATAGCCTATAACTTATAGGTATATCTAATATTTGCTATTATATGCTTTTGTAGCATAGTATATGCTTTTGCATCAAGACAAATTTTCTTTCTTAGAAAGCTTTTCAAGAGATGCAGTTGTTAAAATCACATTTTTTCGCGCTAAAAAAAAGTTTTCATCATTCAAAAGAGAAATATCTTTCGAAGAAATATTTTTGGTTCTTGTACTAAGAAATCGCTCTTGATTTAGTCTAATATTGTAATAAACTGCTCTCGTCAATTTTTTGTACATTAATATTATGTATTGGTGATTATTACAATCCTTTTTCATCATAGATTAATAACTAAGTACATTGAAACAATAAACTAGTCAACATTAAACGATAAATGCAAAACATCAAAAATTAATTATTTCCTTCATCAATATAATATAAAAATTTATTGAATGAACTATTGACAATCATTAAACGATGTTCTTTATCTTTAAAACAATACATTTTTCGTCATAGATCCATGAACAGCAAAACATAAATAATAATAAACTGTCTTCATTGTCCCAACGGTCACTAAACATTGATTTTACGAACTTAACCATTAACTTCTTAAAACGCGCCAAAATTAATGCTACCGTACGCTGATTCAATCAACATAAACATTATTATAACGAATCGCTGTCGTAGACCGAAGGTCATCGGAGGACTTTTGGGTGGGGAATTTTTACATGCAATTTTTATCTTGTCATATCCCCTGTCTATATCCTTTTTCTATGCTTGTCAGTCTTAAGCGTCAAAAGGATAGTTCCGCGTTTAACCCTAAAGCTTTATTAGTGAAATTGTGATAAATATATGGAGCGAAGTCAAGGTGTGTAAGCTTGTGAAGTTATTTTAAACATTTTTGACCTTTTTGGATATTTTTTTTATTTTTAAGTTTTAAGTGATTGAGTTTTTAGTTTTTAAAATATACACTTTTAAATAAAATAATTTAGGATTTCATGTAATTAAGGCGGTCGATATATGTTTTAAAATTATTTATATATGTAATCTTGACTTTTTACAGGAAAGCATGTTTTGGAACTTTTTAGATAGAGCATTTTGTAAACCTCTTTAGAGCCCAAAGGTTCATATTATTTGTAAATTTCTCTTGCAATAAAAAAATGTATTCACCAAAAACGTCTTTATTTTAAAGAAACCCCTTTTGTGATTGATTGCTGTATAAGATATTTTTTTACTATTTCTATGTTGCCAAAACAAAATGTACCCACGTGCCCAGTAAACCTTTATTTTAAATAAAAAGGTAAGTAAATTTGGCAAATAATTTTAATTGGGTTTGTCTGGATTTTATGTAAATTTAAGTAAATCATAAACTAATGCCTTTTTTTTTGTAGTATTAATACTATAAGGGATCATAGATCTATGGTAATTGTTTATTGATTCAATGTAAAATAATCATAAACTAATGTCTACCGTTTATAATAATAATAACATGCTTTCATATATCTATGTTCGTTCTTTATTAATTTAACGTATTAATCATAAACTTATGTCCAACGGTCGTTATATTAACAACCGCTCTTCATAGATCCATGCTCATAGATTATTAATTTAACGTAAAGCATTCATAAACTGATGTAAATCTGTTTATCGTATTAATTACAGTCAAACATAGATCCATGCTCCTCATTCATTGATTTAACGTACAGAAATCGTAACTTGATGAATAAGAAAATTTACGAACGACTGTTCATTGTATTAATAACACCCGTCATCGGCTGAAAATGAATGTTGTCGTTCATTGATTTGATGTACTTTTTTATTAATATCACGTACCTTTTTCGTTCAGTGAAGTAATTTAAAAAACATTATGTAAATATAATTTCTGATTTAGATTATGAAAAAAAGCTCTTGGCCCTATTCAAAAGCGCAAATCTTTTGAATCAAAGTGATTTTCGTTTCTTTTAAGAGATTATTTTTTCAGAATATATTCAAAGATGTATAAAATATCATAACTATGTAGCAGACTTCCTTAACAAGTTAAAGGTTGTCAAATCTTATTCTATCACCATTATCAAGTATATGTTGTACAACACTCGATTTCTCTGTCCTACCAAATCTAGCATGGGCCAAATGCTCTTTCAAACTTACTTGGATGTATCATTTAGTTTGTCCAAAATATTTTTTGTCACAATCCTGAGTATATTTCGTAGATCCCCGACTTTTCAATTTTTTGAATCTTATCTTTTGAGTTGCCTAGAAGGTTCAAGAGTGTGTTACTGCTTAAACTAAGACCCTTTTAGGAAACCTAAAAGAGAAGTTTCCTAAAATTGAAAACTGACAATAAACGATCCATCCAAAGGTTCAAAAAACACTTGGCCCAAGGCGAAAAGTACTTTAAGCACTTTGTGTTTTCTTTTGGTGTTGGGAAATATTTCTAATATTTGTTTAACATATCACCAAAGTTGTCCTTGTTCAAGTATACTTACCTTGTTGTTTAATAGTTCCATTCTCCATCTGTACGATTTTATCCGCATACACCAAATATTGCACATGATGTGTGCATAGAATTCGCGTTTTATCCCTCAAAACACCCATTATACAGTTCTCGAAAATGTGGCGGGCCACTTTGACGTCGACCGCGGAAAGAATATCATCCAGTAAATAAATTGACTTATCTTGGTAGACAGCTCTAGCCAAAGCTATGCGAGCTTTCTGCCCGCCCGATAAAGTCATACCGCCTATCAAACAGAAAATTAATATTTTAGTGCAAAATATATCAACTGTAATATCAATTAACCTTCTCCTACGTCTGTCAAGTCGGCGTGTTTAAGTTGGGTTATGTCTTCCGCAAGACCGCAAGCGTAAATAACAGTTTTGTATTTCGTTTCGTCGAAACTTTTTCCAAAAAGAATATTTTCGCGGATGGTGCCACACTGTAACCACGGCTGTTGTGTTACAAAACCAAAACCTTTCAAAACAGAGAATTATTATTTTTATACAAAATTTTGATAATTATGGGCAACAAATACTTAAATCTTTACTTAGGTACCTGATTCCATTTGGGTCGTGACCATTTGGCCTTGAAACATTGACAGTTCTGCTAACATAGCTGATAGTAAGGATGACTTTCCACATCCTACAGAACCTATGATTCCTACTAAGTCGCCCTTAAAGCAAATTGTATTATTTTAGAAAAAATAAGGATTTAGAGTGATACCTTTTTAATACTTAGATTTATATTTGATAAAGTAAAGATGTAGCTATCTTCTTCTTCAAGAATATGAGATTCCACGCTATTTCTTTTGTCTAGAGTAATGGCAGATTTTTTGCCTGCACCTATCAGAAAAATATATAGAATCTAATGACAACAAGTAAAACAATTTACCCTTGCCTCTGGATAGTTTTCTCTTTCTAACATCGTGAAGTTTAAGTTTTTCTTCTGCACTCAACTCTTTCCCCCACGTATAACCCCCGTTAGACAAAATTATGTCATGATTACCTGAAGACTGCCCCAAAAGATCTTCATTGTATTCTTGATTAAAGTTTAAATCGGGCAGCTACAAAGGATCAAAACATTTAGTTTCCAAAAGTTCCTGATGCAAAAACTTAAGTACCTATAGGACGAACAAAAATGCCCACCAAAACTGATAGCATATTTTGATTATAGACCTTTTTGGCAACACTAACATGTATTTATTAAAATCCCAGCTGATCCTATTTTAAAGTTTTGCAAACTATTTTGTTTTTCTATTTCTATATATTATTTTGCAATTATTGTACTAAAACTACCTGTACAATTTTAATAAAATTAAGCAAAATAATAAACTTTGTATCATTTAAATTACTTTACTCCCCAGTATTAATTTATTGAGTCACCTATTATTTTTTACCACTCAAAACAAAACATAACAAAGAAAAAACGAAGATTTTTATCTTAAATATTTTTTATAACAAAAAATACTGGAAATTTGTCTATGAAATAATTACAACTTGCAAATTTTGTAAAACAATAATTAAGGTGGTTATGAAAAAAATTGCTATACGTTATAACGCAAGTGACATTTTGCTTTAGTTGTTTATTTAATGTATACTTTATAAAGTTAAAAATAGTATTTTAAAATGAAAATTAAACCGAAATTCAAGTTAAGCTATGAAGAAAATCGAAAGCTGGCTGTGGAGACAAAATTGTTTTTGGTAATCGAAAAATTCAGAGTTTAGGGTTTCTGAGAAAATATAAAAATTACTTTTTCAAACGAACACTTTAACTTAAGTGATTCAAAATTACCTACTTCAATATGGTAAAAACGGTATTTTTGCATAGCCACAATTGCCAAATTTTCAAAATTTAGAAATTGCCAGAGAATTTCGCGGCAGCCAAGAATGTATGTGCTTTATCTGCAAAATGGCAAGATATAAAGGGCATATAAAATTATTAAGGGAAGAGGACGGACGAACGAACTAAAGTTTTGATATGCTCTTCCTTTCTAGGGGATATCGCTAGATGTAAGAAGCATGTTTGTACAGAGACTGAAGAATTTAAAAATACTGTTTCCATGTTAAAAACAATTCCATGTAAAACACAAGAAAAAGTTTTACTGAAAATTTAAGGCAAGCAGTAATCGATTTTGCTTCAAAGAATCTTTAGTTATTTATTAGTTTTGTATTAGGTACCTTAAAACAATAAATAAGATATTGCAAACTGTATTTTACATTATTTTGTATTTATAATGTAATTTATCCATATCATGATTCTGCCAATTTTTAAGAACATTTGATAATGGTACTAGAGTATTTTATCTAAATGGCATAAACAATTTTAAAATACGCAAAACTTTAATCAAGGATCAGCTGGGATTTTGATAAATACATTTTTGTGTTACCAAGAGAGTCTATAATCAGATTAAGCTATCAGTTTTGGTTGGCATTTTTGTTCGTCCTATACTTTAGTTTTGACCACCGTGGATGGCTCTTTGCAGACACCATGTATACTTAGTAGGGTGATTCATTTCCGCAAAGTTTTTGTTTTTTTCGGTGCTCAAGCAAAATATTAATCTGCATATAGGAAAAAACATTCTCATAAGTTTGAGCTCTTAATATTAATTTTAAGCACTTACTATTTAAATTTAAAGTTTTACCGTTTAAAATGCATGTAAAAAATATATATATATTTTCAAATTTCTAATGCTTACCCACCTTTGACAATATTGCAAATCGGTTTAATACACCTTATGGGGAATTTCACGCTCATTAAAAATGCTTTTGAGTTTTTTTTTGTAACTCGCATTGGTTCACCAGTAGGAGTCGTCAAAGGACAGTTTTTGAAAAAAATCGTTTTTTTTATTTTTTCGAGCAAATCGCCAAAACTAGTGAGAAAAAAGGGCTGATTCATAAAAAAAAAGTTATCCAACCAATATTTAATGAATTTACTGCCATTTTTATAACTGAAAACGTAAGAAATTGATAAATACCAACCCATAATGTTATTTAGATTGATTTTTTCTGTTTATTATCATTATATTTCCCTACACTAAGAACTTTTTTAAAATTATTATGATTTCTCACTCATAATGAATATGAAAACAACACATAAATTCATAAAAAAAAACAACAAAACTTTAATCGGAATATACAGAAGGTTATGTAACATATTTCAAATTTCGCTTCAAAAAATTAAATAATCTTCATTTATATTTTTTTGCTATATGACAGAAATGTTGAAAAATTGCAAAATCCACGTTACAATTTTTCTTATTTCTTTATTTCTTATTATTTTCTTATTGTTGTTTTTTTATGAATTTATCTGTTGTTTTCATATTCATTATAAGTGAGAAATCAATAATTTTAAAAAACTTCTTAGTGTAGGGAAATATAATGATAATAAATAGAAAAAATCAATCTAAATAATATTATGAGTTGGTAATTATCAATTTCTTACGTTTTCAGTTATAAAAATGGCTGTAAATTCATTAAATATTGGTTGGATAACTTTTTTTTTATGATTCAGCCCTTTTTTATCCCTACTTTTTGCGGTTTGTTACAAAAAATTAAAAAAAAAACGATTTTTTTCAAAAACTGTCCTTTGACGACTCCTACTGGTGAACCAATGCGAGTTACAAAAAAAAACTCAAAAGAAATTTTAAAGAGCGTGAAATTCCCCATAAGGTGTATTAAACCGATTTGCAATATTGTCAAAGGTGGGTAAGCATTAGAAATTTGAAAAAAAAATATATTTTTTACATGCATTTTAAACGGTAAAACTTTAAATTTAAATAGTAACTTAAAATTTATATTAAGAGCTCAAATTTGTTGAGAATTTTTTTTCTATATGCAGATTAATATTTTGCTTGAGCACCGAAAAAAACCAAAAACTTTGCGGAAATGAATCACCCTAATACTTAGTATACATTTTATAACCACATATTTAGCAAACTTACATCTAGAAGCTTCTGTATTCTTTTGACGGACACCCAGGCCTCGGTCATGCCATTTAGAACCCAAGGAAAGGCATTCAAAGGGCTGATGAGCATATTTAATAAGGCGATGCACGTGAATACGGTGGCCGCGGTTAATTTATTGCCGAGCAGCGAGTACGTTCCCATTGTCAAAACGGAAACCACGACCGGCGTGGAGGCCCAGAACACCACACACAGCGCGTCCAAATACTTGCGACCCTTCAGGTATTTTAGCTCTTCCTCGCGAAGTTCTAAAACCAGTCCGGTTACTTACACGAAAGTTGCTCTTTTACTTCCCAAGAAGTCGCATAAGCTAGCTGAATGCCATTGAGTGAATGGCTTGTGCGGGTTATTATTGTATTTGGGTCATTTTCAAGAAACACCCGCTTTCAGGAAAATGAAGATCAAAATTTTTTTTTGCTTAAATTGACTTGGTTGGATTTTTATAAATGTTTTGTTTACTTACATTTAAGACAGGCAGTGCACTTTTTAATTTTTTTTACGTTTTTTTTCAGAAAAATGTGTTTAGCTAGCTTTACATACCTCCACTGTGTTACCAATTTGAAATCCAAAATTTAATTCAATAAAAAAAGTTGTTATAAAAATAATTTGAAATTAAATGTACTTAGTTCACAAACTTTTGACTCCAATTTTTTATTTTATTTTTTATTAAAAGTTGTATGCTTTTTTTTAAATATGTATGTTCGTTAAGTTACTTTTTAAAAGAAACCATTCCGATTCTTTGTTAACAAAGCAGTACCATTAATATTTTCTTTTTGTCACTGTATTAGTGAATTAAACTCTAATTTATAAACACGTATTACCAAGTGATAGTGTATATAAATCATTTTAAGTATTTTTTTTAACAAAAACTAAAAAAAGTAACGGAATAGACATTGGTATCACAACGGACAGGGGTACACAAAGGACTTAATCAGATAACGTAAAAAAGAAACTATATAGGATTTTAGTAATGCATAAACAAAATCCCTTGTAGTGGGGCTCACTTGCAGAATAACAACTTAGATTTCTAAATTGTAGACACCCTTTTTCTTTGACTATAAGCTGGTGAAGGTCCTTTTAGTACTTTTATATTGCGTGGAATTTTTCCTTGGATGTAATCTATATCATGAGTTGTAATTACAAATAATTTTAAATTGGTTAATCATAAACTACTTTTAATAAAAGCGACGGTAAATATCCACTTTGTTCTCGAAAAATTCTATTGCGTTACCCTAAATTCCATTGCGTTACCATAAGGTAACAAAGTGGACTCGGTAACGCAGTGGACAAAGTTTTGTAAAACCATATTTAAAAAATAATAATAAGACATTACAGTCATTAATTACTCTCAATGAGCTTTAGTGCCCTAAATAAACATAAACATGAAAAATAGTATTTTTTCTTACCTTATTTTTATTATTTTTTTGAGTAACTTAGCGGACAAACAATTATTAAATTCGCGTTACCCGCACCTGTTTCAACCGATATCTTCTTCCTGATTGTATAAATAAATTCAGCTGGGTAATGTGTACATTCGAACACCAAAAAAGTTGCCATATATATGTTTTTTTTAATATTCTATCGGTAACGCGACGGACGTAACGCAACGGAAAAAATGTCTGGGACATGAGTCAAATTTATAAAAAGTAGATTAAAATTAATTATATTATATAAATTGTTAACTGTATTAACTAAGGATGTTATGGATTGCTATAAAGCAACACAAAGTTCTGGTTATTCAATATTAAAAAAAAACATGTATGTAAGTTTTATAAAACGCTAATGGGACATGCGAAAATGTGTGTTTCACAAGTTTCAAAATTAAAATAAAATTATTCTGAAATAACTAAACAAACATTTTCTGAAAGAGTTTACTAAGGGCTTGTTAGGCTTTCACTTGGTTTTTAAATCAATAAGATCCGATAATTTTTAACAAAGTTATTGGAATTCAAACTTACGGACAGTAAATTATTTTTTAAATTTAAACATTTTTATATTCTGGGACAAATTAACTCAATTTGATGGAAAAAATCAACAACTGTTCGATTAAATGTCCCATAAACAAGCGTAAGCATGAAGGCAGAAAACCGAATAACCCGCCAAGCTCTAATTAACAGTTATTTATTCGGTGTGAAATTGTAACTCCGGGGGGAAAGATTCGTGTGCACTTACTGGTTATAAGCCTAATAAAATGCTGCTCCCAAACGTACAACTTAATTGCCTTAATGCCTCTCAGAACTTCGGTTATCATTTTGACCCTGGCGTCTTTTTGCTCCATAAGTTCCTTGCTCAGTTCTCCTATTTTGTTCGCTATTACTTTGTTTATGGGGATGAGGACTGCGCTGAATACGACTCCGGCAAGGAACGAAAGTCCCACTTGGTCGTAGAGGAGGTACAGTGTCACTCCCAGCTGAAATTTTGCTTAATTTGTATGTTTTTTAGACTGGGCCAAAAAAATCGACTATTTTTTTTTTTTGACTTCAAATTTAACCTTAAATAACGTTTGATGGAGTGAATTTAGCTAAAAATGATAAAAGACTTTTTTTGTAGAGCATTTGATTTCCCATAATAATATTTTTTTCAGGGTACTGATTTTTACATGAATTACAAAATTCCAAAGTTAAAAGATCAAATTGTAAAACTATACCAATTTTTAAGGCATGATTGTAAGAAAACGGTTCATCTGACGGGAAATTCCAATCAGACCTTTTTTGTAGAGCATTCAATTTTCTTCAAAAAATATTCTTAAGTCAATTTTGTTAAACTCAATGATTTGGGAGTTCTGAGACAAAAACTCGCTCAGGAAAAAAAAATCTAAAATTGCGATGATAGACCTCTTAATATTAATATTATGGACTCAAACTTTCACCATAATTTTTTTTGTCACCCCAAACAATATTTTCGATATACTTTCAAAAAAAAATAGTCGATTTTTTTGGCCCAGTCTAATGTTTATATTTAGCAAAGATGAGGTATGCCCATAAATCAATCAGTTTTTCAAAAAAAAAAAACTTCTTATATACCTATACGAGGCATAAATCTCGTCCCCTCTGCAATAAATCTGGAAGGTGAGGAAAATTTACCTGAAACGGTATGCTCCAGAGCGCGTGGAAACTGGGACAAGAATTGACAATACGATCGGTGTCGGTCGACATAAAGTTGACGATTTTTCCGACGGAAAAGTCCTTGTTAAGATTTATCGAGCTCACCGACAGAGTTTTCCTATAAATTACCGTAACCAGTGCGCTGCGCATCTTCAAGCCCACCACTGACATCCAAAAGTTGAAGTGAGCGTCACAAAGAGATGCTTAAAAATATAGTAAATTATAAAAATATTATTTTTCTACCCCCACCTTTAAAAAACCCATTATCGTACAAGTTTCATGACACTAAGTGACCTTTTAAATACACTGGCTGACGTTAACAACAGGATTTTAGTCACGGACTGAAGTTGGCTTTAAGAAAGATTTCAACTGTCATACAATCGTTAAAATAAAGTGCTTTTCTTGTAAAATAATACTAAATATAAATAAAAAAATACAACAGTATTAAATAGTTTCTTAAAAATTTTACGTACAGTGCCCACAAAACATTCTCTTCTCTTTTACTTTGAAAAACTGCTTCTATATCGATTGTGTCTATTTTTCAGAGAAAAATTTGAGATTTTAATGCCGGTAGATTTCTGAGTTAGAAATTCTAACGGGATTTCCAATAAATACAACTGTCACTTTTTGTACCTTTAACATTTCCCGTGTTATTATAATTTTTAATACTTTGCAATTATAATAATAAAAAAAATCATAACATATTTTCTTAACATAATCTTGAATAATAATAATAATTTTGAAGTTATTTTAATATTAAGTATTAATAATTGTTAAGTTTAATTAAAATAAAAACGGGCAATGTTAATGGTGAAAATTACTTCAAAAATGTTTATTACGATGGTTACTTTATTTTCATATACAGTAAACCACATAGTTATTGGACACTTAAGGAATATTATTTATTTTAAATTTATATATGCCGTTGTTATAAAGCTTTTAGTTTTTTTCTTATAAATATATAAAATGGATAGTTTGTTTGTTTAAACTTTATTTTCGTTTACTTAAAAATAAGAATATTTGAATTTTTAATAATAGTTTTATAAAAACATGCAAAGTATAGTAATTGGACATTTTAGTAATTGGACATACAATTTTTATATTAACATAACAATCAAATAACATAAATTGTTAAATATCAATCAATCAATCAAATAACATAAATTGTTAAATACTTTTTAAAGATAAATTGCTGTTTTTGGTAATTTTTTTTATTTCGTTTTTGTAAATATCATATAATTCATATATTTCTTTCTCGGATTCCTCATCCCTTTTTTGGATTCTGAAGGTAACTACTAATTCCTTGGTCTGACTTCTGAAATAGTTTTTATGTTCTCTATCATGCACTGCATTTAAATCGCTGTTATTCTGCAAGATGTCATGTGACGAAGAAATCACTATATTACTTTAAATCTAAAAATGAATTAGTCAAAAATGTCATAGCGAAAAAGCAGCCACTAATAATTCTCGTCAACAGCTATTTGTATCCAGGACATTTAGAAGTCAATTCCTATGAAATATTATTCGCTGAATCCGAAAATGTCGTCAAAAGTTATAAAAGTAGAACAGTTTTTGAAATATAATCAATTTTACATATAATATGGAATGGACTTTTTCTCAAAAACTCCTTAAATTTTACAGTTTTTGACGGTCTTTTCGGATTCAGGAGACAATTTTACATAAGAATTGGCTGGTAAATGTCCGGGATACAAATAGAGTATGATATTGGACATATATCCAATAATAGAAATTTACATTTTTTACCAACCAGTAATTGGACACTGGCCATTTTACTGTTTGTTTTCAGAATTAAAATTAAAACGCATTAAAGTGACAATGTTTAAACCATGAGAAACACATTTATACCACACACATGTTTTCTCGTTTTTCGACTCCCCTGTATAATATTTTCAAATTTTTATTTGTATAATATTTTCAAATTTAAAGTATCCGTGGACATACTGTGGAGGTCGTTTTATACAAATATTTTATTTAAATCAATTTTTAAATGATATTAAGAATTTGTAATTAAAAAAGTATATGCAACTCGCTTATAAACTTTTCTAGGCATTCATTTAATTAAACACTCGCTCGCAAGTGACTAAAATGGCGTTTATAAAACTTAATTTACTTACACAACGTTTATTTTGTACCACCCTGTGCATTGTATAAAACTTACACAAACAAATCCCTTTCTTTGAAACTAAAGCAAGTTTCTGGATGATAAATTATGTATTTGATAAAAATGTATTTTATATTCAAGAAAAATGTTCTTTTTAAATAATTTATTCATAAGTTTCACTTTATTGCATTATTTTCGATCGAGCGCAACACAAAGCAGTGTTTAAGGTGTATTTTAAAATGCAATCCATTTTCTAAATGAAAAAAAACGTACGGAAAAATAAAAACTCGTACAAAATAAGCTCTTTTATTTCGAATTGTTGAACAACGTCTCCCCTAGCACACAGGCGTTCTTCAAAAGTATTTCAAAAGGTTTTAAGGCAATCGATAAAAAATTGCATCAAGTATTTTGGGCTTCAATGCGCTACTTTTTAACATTTACCCTGCTTTAACAGTATAATATGTATCAAGTTTGATAAACGCCATTTTAACCAAGAATTTAATTTAATTAAATGAGTGACTAGAAAACAAATACTTATTATCTTAAAATGATTTAAATCAAAAATTTGTATAGAACGCCATCTATGAAACAATAGGGGAATCTGTGTGTCACCGTCAAATGTCACATTTTTATATTTTATAAACACAGATTATAAAGGTTATAAATCGAAATGTATTTCTTGAAAATTGACAGTTTTTCACAGTGAAAGTAAAGAAAATGTTTTATGAGCACTTTACAGTGGAGTCCGTGCCCGAATTTAAGTTATAGTTTACTGCCGGCGAAATCAAAACGTTCATATAATCTTTTCAAATATTGGCGTCAAGAAACTATTTAATAATTTTGTCTTGAGATAATAATATAATTTTCACATTTAGTATTATTTTACAAGAAAGGCACTTTATTATATAAACAGTTGTATGATATTTGACAACTGTCAAGTAACTTAAAACTAGCCCGTGACTAAAAACCTGTTGCTAACTTCAGCCCGTGACTAAAACGCCATAAAGCCACAACTTGTCAATGTGTATTTAAAAGGTCACTTAGTTTCATGAAAACATGTGCGATAATGTGAGAGTAGAAAAAACTTTTTATATTAAAACCGTTGAGTAAAGAGTTAAACACATATATATGTAGAAGAGCAGGAGGAAAACATAGACAATCTAAAATTCAACGATCCTAAGGGTAAATAAGATACGTATCACACGTATGTTTCATTTGGTTCACCCTTAAAGTAATAGATTATTTATTTTCAACTCCTTCACATTCCCACGTAATCTGCGCGTATTTCAATTCAAATGACTCATGCTTTACAGGATTCTTACGAACAAATACGCAAGTTGAACCTGTCGGGGGTGCCATAATTACCACCGCAAAATAATGAAAAACGCGAGTGGCACTCGCATTGTTTCTCCTCCCCTGATTTTTCCTATTTCAGCCTCCTGAAACGAGCACTTACGTGTCATCGCTGCAACCAACATTACAGCGCATTTTACACTTTTTAGAATTATCAGAAACTATAGTGTATTCCATTTAAGAATAAAGCGTTGAGTTGAATAGGATTTATTTTAAAATAATCACGATTCTTAAAATTGTGGTTTTATTTACACAGGCCCAAATTTAAAAAGCTCTCTGTCTAAAAACAAATTTACAAACTGACATAATAATATTATACAACAAAACAGCAAGACTTGTTAAATTATTAATATAATAATATTATATTAGCTTTTGTTGTCAATTTGTCAAGAATATTGTAATTATAGAAAGAATATTTCTTTTCAGAAGGTTGGCAACGTAGCATTCAATTTGTTTTAAATGGCTGCAGTAGGATCAGCTGTTATCATAGAAAGTTTTTATTTTGTGACTTTATTATTTGTTCTGTGATTTATTGGTTTTATTTAACGCATTTACCTTTGTTAATAATTTGTTACTGAACAACAGGTAAGTCCAAACCAAAGAAAACTATTTTTAAATTTTTGAGACAGTATGAATAATATGAGCAATGGAAAACCAACCCTTTGTCCTAAAAATAAATCTGAGGAATATATAGGACGAAGTCAAAGAATAATACTTTTTAATATGGAACCCGAGGGGTGGTTCACATGCCGGAAAATGTACACCTACTTCGAAGTACCTTATATATTTTAAAATACTTCTAGTACTCCGAGATACTTCTAGTACTCCGAGATACTTCTAGTACTCCGAAATACTTCTAATACTTCGAAGGTACTTTTAATACTTATAAGTTCGATATTATCAATTACAAAGTGCACGAAGCTCGTTTGTAGCAATCCCAAAGCACTTCGAAGTATATGAAGTATTAAAAGTACCTTCGAAGTATTTTGGAGTACTAGAAGTATCTCGGAGTACTAGAAGTATCTGGGAGTACTAGAAGTATTTTAAAATATATAAGGTTAACGTTTCCAACCATACATTCAAACTAATTTAAACATTTATAAGTTCCTAGTAAACATTTCTAACATAAAATCAAAAATATGGCCGAAATATTTCTAGTCTCGTTGACAAATTTTTTAATGTGTTTTAACGTTTCCAACCATACATTCAAACTGCTTTAAACATTTCTAAGTTCCAAGTAAACATTTTTAATGTGGATTTTTTGTAATTGTTCTCCTTTATAAAACATTAGTTATAAAAGTAAAATCAAACTCTTCAATGCATTTTTAAAGTCAAAATATCAGAAATACGACCAAAATACACAAAACCCACTTTTAAACTATGTTGGAGAATTGTATTGCTAAAAACGTTGTAACAACGTTTCCAAAACCCACATTTAGCTACATAAAAGTATTCGTCGACAAATTTTTTTATGTGTATTTTTTTTTAAATTTTTATCCTTTATAATACATTAGTTGGGTACATATAAAAGTAAAATAAAACTGTGCAATAAATGTATGGTCATAAAATCAAAAATACGGCCGGAATACACAAAACACACTTTCAAACTACGTTGGAAAATTGTATTGCTAAAAACGTTGTAATAACGTGTTCAAAACATAAATAAATAAAGCCCAAAAATATAATTTAGAAAAAATAATCTTCTTTATCGATAGTTTCAATCAAATA